CATGTGCCCATGTTGGTGCATTGCCCCCATTAACTTGTCCCCATTTACATTAGTGTATCTCCTAATGCTCCCTCCCAGCTCCTCACCCCAACTCAGGCCAGTGGTGTGATTTCCCCTTTACTACACTCCAAAGTGTTCTCATTTTTCAATTCCCACCTATAGTGAGAACCATTGGTGTTTGGGTTTTTTGTCCTTGCGATAGTTTGCTGAGAATGATGGTTTCCAGCTTTCGATCATTGCCTACACATAAGGACAGATGAACCATCCCTTTTTTATGGCTGCACAGTAATTCCATGGTGTAGTATTGTGCCACATTTTCTTATCCAAGTCCTATCATTGGATGGACCAGTTGGGTTGGTCCAAGGCTTGCTATTGTGAATAGTGCTGCAATAAACATACCTGTGCATTGTCTTTATAGCAGCATGATTTATAATCCTTTGGGTATATCCCCAGTAATGGGATGGCCTGGGTCAAATGGTATTTCTAGTTCTAGATCCTTTGAGGAATCAACCACACTGTCTTCCACAATGGTTGAACTAGTTTACAGTCCCACACAACAGTATAAAAGTGTTTTCTATTTCTCCACATCCTCTCCCGCACCTGTTGTTTCCTGACTTTTTAATGATCGCCATTCTAACTGGTGTGAGATGGTATCTCAATTGTGGTTTTGATTTGCATTTCCTCTGATGGCGAGTGATGATGAGCATTCTTTCATGTGTCTGTTGGCTGCATAACATGTCTTCTTTTTGAGAAAGTGTCTGTTCATATCCTTCGCCCACATTTTTGATGGGTGTTTTTTCTTGTAGTTTGTTTGAGTTCTTTGTAGGTTCTGGATATTAGCCCTTTGTCAGAATGAGTAGATTGCACCAAAATTTTCCCTCCATTCCTTAGGGGGCAGAAGCTCTTTAGTTTAATTAGATCCCATTTGTCAATTTTGGCTTTTGTTGCCATTGCTTTTGGTGTTTTAGACATGAAGTCCTTGCCCAGGCCTATGTCCTGAATGGTATTGCCTAGATTTTCTTCTAGGGTTTTTATGCAAACAACCCACATTCTTATCCAGTCTGTGCTGTGTGGTTTCCTGGGAAATGTGTTGGTCCTGCCCTCAGGCATACATGCACTTGGCCTAGGTGTCCTTAACTTGCATGGGAGGTTGTTGACCCTGCCTTCAGCTTTGTGGATTATCTCAACTGCACCTCCAGGTATGCAGAAATTCTCCCCACCAGGCTAACTGGTGCCAGAGAATGAAGCCTCCAACTTCCTGTTGTCTGTTCTCATCCAAAGTCTAGTCTCACAGAGAATTTCTTGCAGGATGGTAGGAGGGTCCTCACTGAGGAGGGTACATATGCTAAATTGTGTTCTTCGTAATATTAGGACAGTTTCTAAGGATGCTATCAACTTAGGGTCTACCTTTGAGACAGAGTGCTGTTGTCCAGTGCTGAAAGAGACTGCAGAATGACCCTTGCAGAGCATGCTAAGGGTGCTGTCCACTGCATCATGCAAGGTTGTCTCTATGAGGATTCCTGGAGAACGCTTAACTCTTAGTATCAGGAAAAGCTGTTCTTCTGAGTACTTGGTCTTTGATCTTGTGGACATGGAGCTCTTGGCTTTGGCTCCAGGAAACTCAGAGCTGAACTGGTCATCCCCTTCTAGCAAATGTATAGCTCCTTGGACATGCAGTTCTAGAAGTGGGACATAATTATATAGAGACATAATTGAAGTGGGACATTAATTATATACAGAGATAAGATACACGTAAAATCAGCCCTCAGTAGCCTCTTCTTTCTTTGTTCTTTGTCCTATGGACTAAAACTTGAAAAAATAACCCTTTCTTATTCCAGAATCTGACAGTCCACAAATGAAGAGGTCAGCAGCTTGCTTTCCCATTGACTTTGTCTTTCTTAGGGCCCTCTGAGCAAGGCTCTCCATCAAAACTGCTTCTGGGGAAGAATGTGAGCATCTAATCCACACCAGTTGCTTATGACTGGTAAAAGCTTAGCCTGCAACTTTTCTCAGAGGCTTCTGCAATTTATTGGTTCACAAACCAAAAGAATGCAATTCTTAATGTGAAATTTGAAGATTAAGAACAGAAAGGCACCTGGGGACCAGGAAGGGCAGGACTCAAGTGGCACCTTCTGGGGCTGGCTACTGGGTTGCTTGTATTCTCTTACCAGATGCCACAGACTTGGCCTTCACCTACCTCCTCCTCCTTTTCTGACCATGACTGCCACCCCTCAGGGGTAGGGGACACATCTCCCAAATTTGCTGACCCTTCAGTCTTTCTGTGTACCTCCTATAGCTCCTATCACAGTAGACTTTGTTCAAAGAAGCCCTCGGTAAATGACAGCAGAATTCAAATTTGTCTTGAGTAGCACTGAAATGCGGAGGGCTGGGAGGCAATGGAAACCTCATGTGTGGAGCACACACACACATTGGCTGGGGTCTACCATCAGCTTATTGTTTGATTTCCTAACAACACTCAGAATGTACCATCTCAGCAGAATCTTGACCTCTTCCCTTGACTCTGCTAGCCCTTCCCTGCCTTTTCCAGTGTCCCCCATACCAGGTGTTGGCACATCCTCTGAGACTGTGGCAATGTGATAATAGCATGGCCACTGACATGAATTCCATGCACTGCCCAGATTGGCTGTGAGATGATGGGTATGTCGCTTATCCCTTTGAGCCACCATTTCCTTATCTGTGAAACCAAGATAATGGTACTTATTTCACAGAATTATTTTGACACATGAATGAGTTCATGTATTTAAAACACTAAGCATGGTTCCTGGCACATAATAATGAATGCCCTTTTCTAAGAGCAGGGACAATATCTTCATTTCTGGAGACAGGGGAGGACCAGGGTTCTCCCTGGGCACTAAGTGGGTTCTTACTTTCCATTTCTGCATTCAGACTCTGCTGGAAGAAAATCTGAGCTCTCTCTTGACCTTCCCATGTTGCAAATTAGGAAAATGATGCCCAGAGAGGGGATGAGTTTCTCAAGGCTGGTTGGCTTCTTAATGGAGGAGATGGACTTGAACCGGGGGCTGCCAGGCCTCCCTTCTAAAACCTGGTGCTGTGGTTTTAGATTCACGAAGTTATGGAAGAAGAAAGCAGGACATATAAATGACTATGACAGGACATATAAATCCTATGACTTTCTGACCACTCCTTACCCCCATGCTGAGCCAGGCTTTCATTTATCCCTAGGCATACTCTGACGGGGTTGTTGACATGCTCTAGAGCTAACAAACTAGAAATTTAAATTTATACAGAAAGGCCTGTGTTTTATTTTCTTGCTACACACTAGATAAAGAAGTGTTTGGTAGAAGTTGAATGAATGAATGAGCATACATCAAAGCAGATTTGTCTTTATAAATTCTTAACACTTTTAAGAAATATTTTCCCCTTCTGTATTTTCTCCCTGCCAATCCTGTTTTTCTGTTGCTTTAAGATTTCTGATATCGAGAGCCGGATTTCAGCCTTGACCATTGCAGGATTAAACATAGCACCATGTGTGCGCCTCACAAGAAGACGGGATCAGAAGCAAAGGACCCAGGTGTGTTTGTCCCTTTCTCCCTCTGTTGGAATGTTACATGGCTTGGAAAATTTAGAAGATAAAATATATTTGGCTATGCAAAGGTATATTGCTCATTGTATTCTGTTTGTAGGTACAAACCATAGATACATCAAGGCAGCAAAGGAGGAAACTGCCTGCTCCACCAGTGAAAGGTATGGTAAATTAAAACCACAAAGCTACCAAAAAATTAAGCCTGAATCATTTACTTTGGATAACACAGAGACCTGAGTTTGAGAATTAGAGCTAATGGAGCGTTCTCACACAGAATTGCTCTTGTCTATCTTGATTTGGGTCCCCCCAGAAGCAAACCCTGGGACAAGGATAGGAGTGGAAGTAGCTTGTTTGGAAGGTGCACTGCTAGAGAAGAAGAGAAATGATTCAGAGAAAGAAATTAAGTCAATCAATACAGGGTACTTGAATTAGGAGTTATTTCTTTGGGCAAATAAGGCTAAGTCCTCCTGGTGACCTCTGGGAGACAATGCTGGCTGCATCTCAGAGTTTTCTGCCCAAAAGGCAGGGAGATGGGATATTTGTCCTAAAACTCTCATCCATCTCTGGCTGAGAGTTACTTCTGGGGGCATTAACTCCCTGGTACTTCTGACCTGCCCCATGCATGAGCCAAGACAGAGTGGTGGTACTTGCTGTAGTATCTATTGGAATGTGCTAGAATGGTGACTGTCAGAGAGAAGTGAACAGAACACCAAAGGTATCTGCCACAGTGTCCAACCTAGAAAGGATTCTGGCAATGCCAGTCATGTTGCCTTTATCTAATGGACATTTTCAAAAAATGCCCTGGGTTCAGAAGCCACAAAAGGGTGATGCCAAACTAGAAATTCAGATTTACAAATTAGAGGAGTAGAAAGCCAAAGATGTACATTTGAGCCTTGGTTCTGCTATTGATCATTTCACAAACATTTATTGAATGTTTATAATCTAGAACACTGTATGCAGTTAAAATTTATCACAGATTCACAGTCCTTTATTTGAAACCCTTGGGTCCACATGTGCTTCATAATTTCTTGAGCATTAGAAAGGTAATATAGTACATGTGCTGTATATTTCTTAACACCCCCTGTGGCATCTAGGCAGCATCTGAAAATCAAACACATTAATATCCTTACAGCAGAGCACAAGAACATTTGCACTCCATGAGATGGACAAGGACATTAAATGGCCTCAGGTTTTATATCAGTTCAGGTCAGGTTTTATAATCAGATTCTTTTGGCTCCAAAGTTGTAAAAATTTGCAAGTTTTAGAACCTTTTCTATTTCAGGACTGCACATAAGTATTTGTGAACTGTACTGGGTTATCTCTGAGCTATCATTTCCCAGAAAGTTATCAATGATGCCCTAAGTTATTTGTCCATCATAAAAATAAACAAAACAAAAAGATTCCATAGTCAAACACAGTATAGGAATGAGATTCCAAGTCTAGAACAAAAGTCTGAGTAATCTGGCCACCTTGTTTTTTCCTTAACAATCAGTCCATCTTCTGGGTAACATTTTTTCCCATTTATTTCCTTTTAGCTGAAAAAATTGAGACATCTTCAGTGACGACCATTAAAACATTTAACCGCAACTTCATTCTCCAAGGCTCCTCAACAAACAGGACTAAGGAAAGGAAAGGCACCACCAAGGATTTGATGGTAAATGTCATCTCTGTCTTAATGTTCATCGCTTTCACTGTTGATGGTACCTCCATTCTGCAGCCTTTCCTTCTATAGCTCCCGCATCAGAACCCCCAAAAAGTATCCTTCCTCCATGGTCTTATGGTCTGTTGGATTTGACTGGGGGGTGGATTTAGCGGTAAACCAAGAGCAGAGTGCTTGGTTGAATAAGGCCATGAAGCACACACACACCGCCGGTCACCCTCCTCAAATGTTACTCTAGAAATCACTATTACTAATAACTTTCTATGCACGTATAGAGGAAATAAGTTGTAACATGGTAAGTGTACTACTGGAAATTGCACTTGGACAAACCAAAATGTAGCTTAACCCAAAACATCCGGCTTATACCCAGAAGATTTCATCATGACCTGATCACTTTGAGCCAACTCTAGCCCCAAACCTTGCTAAAAATATTATCAAACTATCTTAATCAAACCATTTACCTTAGACAAAAGTATAGGCGATAGAAATGTTTATCCTGGCACAATAGACAAAGTAGTGTAAGGGAAAGATAAAAGAACTGTATCAAGCACTAAAAAGCAAAGACAAGCCCTTATACCTTCTGCATAATGTATTAACTAGAAATAACTATACACAGAGAACTTTAGCCAAGTCCCCTGAAACCAGACGAGCTACCCAAGAACAGCTGAAAAAGCACACTCACCTATGTGGCAAAATAGCGGGAAGATTCATGAGTAGCGGTGACAAAGCCTACCAAGCCTGTTGATAGCTGGTTGTCCAAGATAGAATCTTAGTTCGGCTTTAAACTTACCCACAGAATTACTTAATCTCCCTGTAAGTTTAACTGTTAGTCTAAAGATGGACAGCTCTTTAGACCCTAGGAAACAACCTTCCTACAGAGAGTAAAAACTGTTACCACCATAGTTGGCCCAAAAGCAGCCACCAATTAAGAAAGCGTTTAAGCTCAACATCTAAATCTTAATTCTAATCACTCTACTGAACTCCTAACATCACACTATTCACTCCTAACATCACTCCTAACATCAATCTATTACTTAATAGAAGGAATAATGTTAATATAAGTAACATGAAGACATTCTCCATTGCATAAGCTTACATCAGACTGGAATAACCCACTGACAGTTAACAGCCTAATATTAGTAACTGATATAATAAGCACCCTATTATTGACACTGTTAACCCAACACAGGTATGCTCTAAGGAGAGATTACAAAAAGTAAAAGGAACTCGGCAAATCTTACCCCACTTGTTTACCAAAAACATCACCTCTAGCATTACCGGTATTAGAGGCACTGCCTGCCCACTCACATATGTTCAACAGCCACGGTATCCTGACCATGCAAAGGTAGCATAACCACTTGTTCCCTAAATAGGGACTTGTATGAATAGCCATACGAAGGTTCAGCTGTCTCTTACTTTTAATCAGTGAATTTGACCTATTCGTGAAGAGGCGGATATGAACAAATGAGATGAGAAAACCCTATGGAGCTTTAATTCATTAATGCAAATAAAAACTCAAACAAGCCTGCAGGCCCTAGCCTACTATCTGTGGATTAAAAATTTTGGTTGGAGTGACCTTGGAGCATAATTCAACCTCCAAACAACCTAAACTAAGACCGCACTAGTCTAAGTGAGTTAATACACATTGACCCAATAATTTGATCAACGGAATAAGTTCCCCAGTTCTAGAATCCAAATTGACAATAGAGTTTATAACCTCGATGTTGGATCAGGACATCCTAATGGTGTAGCCGCTATTAAGGGTTTGTTTAGCAGTAGGGACAAGGTTCTAAAACTAAGTAACATCCTGCCTGCTATATACCTCTTAAATATGTGGGTATATCCTCTCAACTGCATCTCTAGCTCCTTGTAGGAAGCAGCTTTGATATAAGAGAAATAAAAATATGTAAATAGAATATTAACGTCTGGTTGAGAGGTAACAGTTTTTATTCTGTTTTCAGTTCATAATCACTCTTCCTTAAATTTCTCATTCGCCGTTAATGCTGTGTTCCTGAAAAAAGTCAGCAGCTACTTCTAAATGTAGCAAAGGAAGAGACAGTAAATAATCTGCATGAACTCTAGAAATTATAGAGAAAGGTGTGTTGGATCTTTTGCTTAAAAACTGTCAATCGATAAAAATAACGAGACAAGTCCCTATCATTTTATGAGGTTTATTTGCCAAAGTTAAGGATGTGCACGCAGGAGACAGGTCTATGCCTTTCTCAGAAGATGATTTTGAGGGCTCTAAATTTAAAAAGGAAAGTGCAGGCTATTGAGAAGTACACAATTTTCATGTAAGAGGGGGGTAGGGAAAAATAGTCATTCATGCCTTTGTCCGGCTCAGTGAATCTGCATTTTTTTTTACATCAGATGACATAGACAAATGGGGCAGAGGAAAAATGCAGGGAATCTGCATTTTTACAGCAGATAATATAGAAAAATGGGGCAGGGGAACAATCAGATATGCATTTGTGTCTGGTGGGCCGGGGTGGGGGGTGACTGCACCTGTAAAGATAAGCTATCAATTTGCATTGCCATGGTGAAATTTTAACCGAAACACCTTAGGGTAAAGATCTTGGAGCTAACCAGGAATTTCCATGTAGGCAAAATATTGGGGAGGCGTGTAGCCATCTTATTTAGGAAACGAAACGAGAGGCAGGTTTGCATGACCCAGTTCTCAGCTTGACTTTTCCCTTTAGCTTAGTGATTTGGGGACCCCCCAGATTTAATTTCCTTTCACAAAACCAACATACATGTCAAAGTTTTGGCAAATGTTTGATGCTGCTTACGTAGAGAATGATCATCTAACTAAGCTGTCTCAGTGATACCAATTACGCAGACGGCAGATCATGTCTGAGATGACAAGACTAAGGCAAGGACAAATTTATTCTGTTATCTTTTATCCTTCACCCATTCCTCCCTTCCTCTTCCTCCCTGTCATTGTCCCTGTCTCATGAGCACAGAAGCACCACATAATGGCATAATGGTGGACACATCCTTTTGAAATACAAGTTACTCTCAGGCATTATATGGCAGTAGCTCTACTCACTGCCTTCTCTTCATTGGTCAGCCATTAACCCTGACCTTTTAAAGTCTAATTCCCTTGCTTCTGACCATTATTTCACAGAGCAGAAAAAGATGTATTATCACACTAAAAGGGCAAACCACTACGGTCATGGAAGGAATTGGTTATAAATAAGAAAGTTAAAAATAAATTGTCTTTCATAGAGGCAGGACATGAGATTGGTGGCTGCCGGAGGTTGTGGGAAGGGGCAATAGGAAGAAACTACTTAATGAGTAAGGGGTTTTACTTTAGAGTGACAGAAATTTATTGAAACTAGATAAAGGTGGTAGATGTACAACCTCGTGAGCATACTAAATGCCACCAAATTGTTCACTTTAGAATGGTTTATTTTATGTTATGTGGCTTTCACCTCAATACATTTTTTTAATAAAATTAAAATAAATTACCTTAAAGTAACACAGAGAGGTTAAAAATGAAAGAATAGACAATATTTACTGAACAAATAAAAGCAAAATAGGGCAGAAATAATTACTTTCAATGAAAGGAGAATTCCAGATAAAAAGCATTGAGAGAAAACAAGGAGGAAAGATGTTTAAATGTTGATAAAATAAAGTAGTTAAGTCATGAGCCTTTCTTGATTTGGCAGATAATAAAGCAACACAATTTATGGTGCAATGGTTGGTGACTTTAAAACTCCCTTATCAGCCTTTGGCAGCCCAAGTACCCCATAAATAAATACAAATTAGAGAATTGAATAGTGTAACTGTTCAGCTTTAATTAAGATGTTTATCTAACTTTATATTTTATAGATCATTCACTCTCTTTCCAGGCATCAATGGACCATTTATAAAAATTGACTTTATACAAAATCACAAAGAATACCTCAATAAATTCCAAAAAGTGAACCCTCTATGATCACAATGCCAAACATAATCTAGGGCAGTGCTGTCTAATAGAACTTCGTGTAATGAGGGTAATGGTCTATATCTGCAGTGACCAGTACAGTGGCCACAAGCCACATGTGGCTATTGAATACTTGAAATGTGGCTACTGCATTGAGGGAACTGATTTTTAAATTTTAGTTAATTTTAGTTAATCTGAATGTAAATAGCCACATGTGGCTAGTGGCTACCATGTTGGACAGGGCCAATGTAGAAAATTAGAACCTAAGTTAAAAAACAGAAACCCTACTTAGAAGTTAAAAAGCACTTGTACTCACATACACAACTGTCCATACACATACACATGCAAACTCACACACACATACACATACACTTCAAAATAACTACTGAATTAGAAAAATCCACAGGGCGCTTACAAAATGAAAACATTATATATACCAAAGCAAATAGCATACATATAAAACTACACTGTGTCAAATTTATAGTATTAAATATTTTGTTCCTTGTTAAAGAAGAAGAAAAACAACTAGACATTGAATTCCAGACATCAAAAATAAACATAAAAAACATTTAATTAAGACCAGAAATTATGGAAATGATCTCTCTATATCTACATCTAGGAGCTGATTATTTGAAAAAAATAGAAATGTTTTGTAAGTCACATAAAGAAAAAAACTGAAAACAAAAGATTATATAAAAGGATGTCAATTTTTTATATATATAATGTGGTGTAAAACTATTCTCATAAATTTAGAATCAATACTAGTCAAATCAGAATCAAATAAGAAAAATAGCAAAAACTAACAAGAAATAAAAAGAAACTTAAAATCTATTAAACCTTTCAAAAGGATTCTGTGGCCAAATGATTTTGCTGATTTTTTTTAAGCAACAATTAATTCCCATACCATATAAAATATTCCAGGTCATCAAAATATTGAAAACTAAAAGATTCATGTTGTGAAGCTATCAGAACCCCAATCATGAAAGCCTGATCCATGTCTGGTAAGCATGTATACATGTTCTGTGCCCATCACACACAGGCACACACAGACACACGAAAATTATTACACCAGTTGTACTTCTTCAGAGATGAAGAATATGAAATAAAATATTAGCCAATTAAAGAGCAGTGCATTCAGTAATAAATTACAGTAGGCCAAGCGAGATGGCTCACACCTATAATTCTAGCACTTTGGGAGACCAAGGTGGGAGGATCACTTGAGGCCAGAAGTTCAAGACCAGCCTGGGCAACACAGTGAGACCTGTCTTTACAAAAAAATAAAAAGTTAGCCAGTCATGGTGGCATGTGCCTGTAGTCCCAGCTACTAGAGAGGCTAAGGAGGGGATCCTCTGAGCCCAGGAGTTTGAGGTTGCGGTGAGCTACGATCGCACCACTGCACGCCAGCCTGAGCAACAGAGTAAGACCCTATCTCTAAGAACAAATGAATAAATAAATAACAGGTAGGTTTTGTGGGAATGCAAGGATAGCTTAAATACTGTGATATCAATCCCATTTATGCTGGAGGTTGCAGTTTTTTAAATTTTCGCATGAGTGAAAAATCAGACCTTGGTGATGACCTTTAGCAAAAGGATACAAATAACTCCCACACGCTTAGCGTTCCAATAGTGGAACACTAGGCATAAGTGGATTTTAATAAATCACATCAACAGTTCAATAAGAAAAGTCATTTCTTCCCAAATTAATCTGTAGCTTAATCCAATTTTCATTAAAAAACTCGGTGAAATTTTCCTTGAATTAAAGTTCATGTAATAATAGAAAGAATAGACAAAAGCATTTTGCAAAATTACAGAGATTTTCCTCCCAGATTTTAAAACAAATTAAAAGCTGAAATGAAACTGATCATTAATGAAATAAAATAGCCCAGAAATAGATACAGCCACATATGAGAATATGTTATATTATCTTTGTAAAAGATTTAGAAACTAGTAAAGAAGGTATGGATTATTAAACAAACAAGAACACTGTACTTGCAATACTGGACATTGGGATGGTAGTGGGAAAGAAGGCACATTAGATAATTACCTTATTCCAAATACCAAAATTAATTTAAGGTGGATTAAGAAGTATGCATTTAAAAATGACATCACTTTCTAAATGTTGTGAAACATCTAACTGGTCAATAAGCATGAATAGCTTTTAAAAAGCAGTAAACATTATTTTTCATTGTTTATTCTCAGTCTTCGCAAGTGGCTGATGAGAGTGTGTTCAATGTCTCACCTCAGGAGCCTGCTCTGGAGTCAGCTGTGATGTACTGACACCATGGAATTCCACTGCCAGTGACTCACTGCCTCCGGCCGTACACGACAGTGCCTTGACCCAACAGCCATCGAGTACTGTATGGATTTCCACCTGAGGAGAAGGCCTGGGGAGGCCACAGTGCACCATTGCACAGGGCTGTCCTGATACCTCATCCAGAAAGCCGTCTCAGACTTCAGCATTGCGGTCTTGCCCACTCTCTGCCTTAGGCTCCCAGGGGAATCCAAGACAGAAAACCAAGACACTGGCTTCCAACAGCAGAGCTCCATGTTTAAGATACATATTTTCCCTGTTTGCTTTGCTACTGTGTGTTGACTTTAAGATCTTTTTTTTTTATCCCTTTGATTCAGCTAGTATTCCATGTCAACAATTTTTCCAAAAGAAAACTGTTGGAGGGGGGTGGAGGGAGGAAGGTGGGAATTATTATTTAATCCATCATTAATGCTTATTAATCTCTCACAGCATCTTTGTCTTGCAAATCCTGAGGGAAAAGCAAGTCCATGCAGTGAACACTAGGGACAGTCTAATTTGGGGATTGCTCAACCGTCAAGACTGCAGGTCTCCCTTCAGCCACCTCCTTCCTACTAAAATCTCAGCCTACCACACTACCAGTCATTCCCATTGCTTTGCAATCACAAGCCACAGGATGAGAAGTTCTGACTCACTCATGCCATGCCCAGGTCTATCTGAAACAGTGTCTCATTAAGAATTTAGGGTTCTTCCATGGGCTTACTGACAGTTTCCCAAAACTGAAGGGGAAAGGGGCTTGAGAAAGACCATCATTAGCTCAACTTCAGGGCACTGTCCAGAATCAACATGATGTGGTTTAGCAATGATCACATCTAAACAAAGTTTAGGTAAATGAATTACCACAGAGAAAGACCACATGAGAAAAATTTTGTCCTCCAAATTTACTTCCCAATAAATATTCAGCAAAGTAGTAAAATGACCTTAAAGATAAAAATGATTAGGGAATAGCCTTAGATAATTTATAGGTATAAAAAATTCAAGGACAAACTGTGCATTTAATGGACACAAGAGTTGACTCTAACTCCATGTCTGTGGTTTCTTTGAACCCATATCGAATGCATGACTATTTAGAGTGTTTATAAAAGCAAATGGAACTGAACTTTCACTCAATTAATTGGGCACTAACAACCTTTTTTTATGTTTGTTCCTGATACAGTCTGAATCTTAGGAAGGTAAAAGAAAGGAGGCAAGAGAAGAGTTATGATGAATGTGTGTTAAGTGCCTGCTCTGAAGGAGGCAATGTTCTTCTCCTTTTAATCCTTACGGCAACCTTATTCAATAAGTTTTCCCATGTTTCAAATTTAATAACTGAAGGCCAGAGAGATTAATTTGCCAAAGCCACACCTTTATGCTAATTATGATTGGAATGCATCACAAAAGCCTAACTCTGTTGTTTTCAACCTCTACGTTTTTTTACTGCTATGTGCATTTCCAGATCTGATTTTCTGCTGATTTGTGTGCTATGATCCACTCCTGATGGGGGTCTACGTTATCTTCCAATAATACTCCTTGCTGATGCTGTGTTATGTGTCATCTAACAGAAATGACTCCTTTGAAATAAGTAAATCTTCGGCTTTTTGTTCTGTTGGTGTGATTCAAAGCAAAACAAAAACAAATTTTAAAAACACAACAAAAAAAGATTTGACTTCCAAATAGAACGTTTTCTTTAACAGGCATGAAAAGCAACTATTGTTGTGTTACAGTGTTAAAAATATTCAGTTTTCTTTGACAAAAATGTGTACTGTGTAAGCCTTGCAAACAAAAAAAACAACAAAAAAGAAGAAGAAGCAGCCTGCTGTGTGGCATTTGAACTTTTATAAAGGTTTCCTTGTGCCAAATAAGTGCAAAGATTTAATTTACTATTAAAAACCATAAGCATATGTTATAGTTCCAGAAGAATTATTTTGTCATCAAGTGATTTTGATCTTTAGTGTCAATATTTATATTTAGATTAATTTTTATAAATGAAAATATTTTAATGGTTTAAGAAAATGAGGACAACAGGATAATATCTTTGATGACTTCTGAAAGTTATGCTTCCCTTCATGTTATATGCACATTGCCAAGAATTACTGTCAAGAGAAATGATAAGTAAAAGTCATTTATGAAAATAAAGATTGTGTGTGTGCAATTTTTTGGTTAAGGGAGACTAGGAGTGAGTAGGGAACAGGGAAAGAAGTCATGTGGCTAGTAATTGGAGGGGCCAAGATTCAAAACTTTCCTTCCAGTTACACTGCTCTCCCCTCCAGACAAAATTTCCCAGTGACCACCTCCACTCAAGTGGTCACCCACAAAAGACCAGTTGTTCTCAAAGGGAGGTACAGAGTGATTTTTGACCCTCAGAGAATATTTGACAATGTCTGGAGACATTTTTGATTGTAACAACTAAGGGTGTGCTGCCACTGGCATCTAGTGGGCAGAAAACAGGGATACTGCTAAACATCCTATAATGCATAGGACAGCCCCTGTCTTAATCCATTTTGTGTTGCTATAACAGAATAACACAGACTGGGTGATGTATAAAGAAAAAATTTTATTTCCTATAGTTCTGGAAACTGGGAATTCTAAGGTCAAAGGGCCTGCATCTGGCAAGGGCCTTCTTGCTGTGTCATCCCATGGCAGAAGGGTAAGAAAGCATGCATGAGAGAGAGCAAGAGAACACCAAACTCACTTTTATAACAAACACACTCTTGCAATAATGAACCTACTCCTATGATAACAATGTTAATCCATTCATAAGGCAGAGCCCTCATGACCTAAACTCTCTTAAAGTTCTCACCTTTCAATACTATTGCATTGGGGATTAAGTTTCTAACACATGAACTTTGGGAGACATTCAAACTATAGCAGCCCCCTACAACAAAGATTAACCCAAAATGTCAATAGTGGTAAGGTTGAGAACACTGAGTTAGCTAGAGGTAAACTGGGACAGAAATGGAGAAGCCCCTGTCAACCTCCAGGGGGACTGTGTAGCTGAGCAGGAAGCAGTGACTCTCTCAGTCTTTTGCAGGCTCAGTGGAGGTTGTTGCATCTCTGAGGCTGCCATGCCCAGAGCACTCAAGCCAGACACTGACCCCCGTCATCCCCAAATAGGAATACGAACCTTCTACTAACCTAAAATAAATGAGTATATAAAAATATTAACAGAACCCAAGAGCCTCTGCCTGGTGGCTTTATGCAGTAAAGCCAGTATCCCAACATGAGTGTGCATCAGAATCATCTTTCCAAAGATTCTTGTTGAAGGAGTCTCTGAAACAACAAACATTCCAGCTTGTTGAAAGACAAATTGCTGGGCTCCACCTCAATGTTTCTGGTTTCTGTTTTGTTTTGTTTGAGATGGTGTCTCTCTCTGTCACCCAGGCTGGAGTGCAGTGGCACAATCTCAGCTCATTGCAACCTCTGCTTCCCAGGTTCAAACAATTCTCCCGCCTCAGCCTCCCGAGTAGCTGGGATTACAGGTGCCTACCACCACATCCAACTAATTTTTGTATTTTTAGTAGGCACGAGGTTTCACCATGTTGGCCAGGGTGGTCTTGAACTCCTGACCTCAAGCGATCTGCCTGCCTCGGCCTCCCAAAGTGCTGGCATTACAGGCATGAGCCACTGCACCTGGCCTCCACCTCAATGTTTCTCATTTGCATTTCTAACAAACTTCAGGTGATATTGATGCTGCTGATCTAGGGAGCACACTTTGAGAACCTCTGACCTAGGAGCAAGGTGCAGGGGAAACAACTTGCTTTAAGAGACTTCCCCTGCACCTGGGTTACCCTAGGGAAACTAATGCTTGGAAAAGCTGAAAGCCAGGGAGCCAGGATTTAAAGGAAGCTTCATCAAAACTGTAAAGCCCAACCTTTTCCCCTCCACTCAAAAGAAGGGATTGTCTCTAACTGCACTGCTAGGCAAAGAGGAATCTAAGAATGTATCCTTCATGGAGCAACAACCCAGCCAAACACTAGCTACAGTGCTCTCACTGTATATATTCAAGTAATATTCCATACATTCAACTTCCAGGATAATTAGTGTTTAAAGCACATAGTGAACCACAACTAGCAATGTCATGTGGCACAGGTAAAGCTATTTTTTCAAAGTATGGAGTAAGTTGAGAATATTCACTTAGGAAATCTCAGGTTGTAGACACTGCTGCTGGGCTGCAGCATGGAATGGAGGTGCAGAGCATGTGGGTAGCATGAACTCACATGCAGCTTGTCAGACAAAGACAGATGGCAGGGAAACAGATATCCATCACAAGCACCAAGGACTGCTAGGGCACCAAAATTTGTGGTTCAAACAAGAGGCCCAAAAAAAGTTGGGAAAATAGCCCATTTGGCAACAGGGAAAGGGAGGAAGGGCAATCTCAATCATTAGATGCCTGCCATGTGCCAGGCGCTGCTGAGTCCTTATACATCAATTATATCTTTACAATCTCTGAGGAAGCTCACAGCAATCCCACTTTATACCCAAGAAAATGAGGCCCTAAATGCAATTGGTGAATAGGGCAGCATTTTCTAGAACCTAAACAAATAGTAAGACTGGATCACATCTGGTTGAAATGAGACTTTTCCTAACATAATTTAATATGAAGAAAATACCTGATGTTATTAAAACAAAATAAATACAGTATTAGTGGTTATCCACAGAAAGGAACACTGCTGGCTGGTGACAAGGACTCCCTCCTTGACCAAATTATTCAGGCTTCTTTGAGTTCTCTTCTCAACTAGGCCTTGTCCTTGGCCTGCCAACACAAGTTTAGCAAGTCAGTTTAGTGAGAACCCCTACCCTTAATATCTAATCAAGTTCGTCTTAATAATTTTCTATCCACTGATTTCCTCACCAAGTCCATTGGCTAAACATACCCAGCTACCCTTGCTATATTCAGAGTTGACTTTGGTTATATGCTGAAGTCTCTCTTCCCTATTGCAGTAGCTCAAATAAAATCTGTCTTGCCATTTTTTACAAGTATCCAGTGTAATTTCTCTTTGATAGTGGCTTGAGGTGAAAGGGAAATTTTTCACCATAGACCTTTTTGTACCATTTAAGTTTTGAGTCATAGGAACATATTGCCTATTTAAAATAAATAGGAAAAGGGGGGAAATTATTCTTGATCTTCAACAACCAAGCTGTGAAGGACTGAGTAAATATATAGCAGCTTCAACCATTAAAGTATCTGTTCTTAAGGAATAAAAGATGCATTACACTTGATGAGGAAGCCACCATTTGCATAAAATAGTATGCTAACCACACATCATTCCTATCTATAAAAGTAACTCTTGCGAGGCTCTCAGAAAGACAATGTGTCTGACTAGACTGACTCCTCCACCATTAATCCAAATAAAATTTGTGTAGGATTATAGACCAAGATTGTCATACACATATCCACTCACAGCCTATCCTTTGCAGCATAAAACTGAAATGCAGAGCTTCTCAAGAGAAAAACGTTTGTAAGAATGAGTTTGAATTACATCCTTGGTTTGGAATTGAACCGTTTGCTTGTTTGGCTTTCTCTCCTAAGCTGTATACTCAGAAAGGAAACAAAAAAGTTCAATACTGCCAGGAATATTTGCTGTTTGTCACAGATGAAACCTGATAGTAAGATATTTAAGGAGTGTGTGTGTGTGTGTGTGTGTACATATATATATATAATATTATATTTTTTTTTTTTTTTTTTTTTTTTTGAGACGGAGTCTCGTCTGTCACACCAGGCTGGAGTACAGTGGCGCAATCTCGGTTCATTGCCAAGCCGCCTCCTGGGTTCACACCATTCTCCTGCCTCAGCCTCCCAAGTAGCTAGGACTCAAGCGCCACCACCCACGCCCAGCTGTTTTTTTGTTGGTACTTTTTAAGTAGGGACCAGGTTTCACCATGTTAGCCAGGATGGTCTCGATCTCCTGACCTCGTGATCCGCCCGCCTCGGCCTCCCAAAGTGCTGGGATTACAGGCATGAGCCACTGGGCCCGGCCAAGGAGGATTTTTTTAAGGAACTCTATGGCCAGAAGTCAATTGGAAGCTAATATTCAGGCTATGCATACATTTTTTAAGGCCCCTCTGTTCTATTAAATCTTGCTTCTCCCATGGGAACATCTTAGTCAACTGAAATTCCTTTTCTAAAAGCCTTGCTAACTTTATATGCTCTGCCCCCTGTCCACTTTCTTCCTTGTTGGCATGATTTTTGACTATTTGAATATTGAGCAAATGAAAAATTGTAAAGGTCTTTACAAATAGTAAAGGCTTTATTCAAATTGGCTTAGAGATGAATGAGTATACCTAAAATTCCTAGAAATATAGGAACTAACCTAAATGCTTTTCAGGTTTACATGACTTAAGTAAATCTGTAACAAGACTTGCTTAATATTGTCAGTTTAATGAGAACTTTTGTGTCTTCTGAGCTGTCAACAATACTCATGTACTTAACTTTAGGGTTCTTGCTTTGTCATGACTGCCTGACATGCATGTGCTGTCAAAACGGGTAATAGGAAAATAACTTGAGGTGACAGCAGCTTTGTCTCATGTCTTATGTAATTTTCATGAGTGTTCCAAGCATAATTGTTAAGAATGAGTGAATTAAAGAGATATAACTGAAATAAAAGTTTATATATGTACTTTTTAACAATCATTATATTTTAAAATATATCTACTTTTAAAAGTGTCCCAAATTTCTTCAGTAGCCATACCCTGCGAATTTTTCTAAGTTAAATTTTAAATCTAGATCATTTCCAAGTAAGGTAAAACACTGAAACATTATTGCTGAACACAAGTTTTAAAGTATATATACTTCAGCATCTCATTTTCATGCCATATCAAAAAGCTAAACATATTTGAGTCTGTTAATATATAAAGCAGTAATCCAGTTAAGCCGCTTGCTCAAGGACACTTGCCTGACACCAGCTGTCTCCACCAAAAAGCTAATGCCAACTCCTGCAACAAGCCCCATAACCAATGGTCCTTGTTTCAAAACAGCCTGTGTGGGCTTCTCCTTTGTGTCTTTAAAAGCTTTCCCCTTTCCCCAAACCCCTTGGATGTACCTATGATCCATCATAGCATGTACATCTGGGATTGCAATCTCCTGCTATTCCCAAATAAACTCTCTGCTTTGGTAAGTCAGTCTCTCTATTGC